TTCTTATATTTCCACTGTTGAGGATGACAGCTTTGGTTCTACAAATAAAATGTGTCAGATTGTTGGATCAAGAATCAGGAAGGATGACCGTTCCTTCCATGTGGTAATTTTGGTTATTCCCAGTCAGCCAAAAACATTTTTACTCATTGTGGGGACACATTACCTGAAACCAAGTGGTGCGAGTGAGAAAAGAGTTTCACCACATACCTTTGGTCAGTTTTCATCACAGGAACCTTCAGAATTATAGAAAACTTCTTTAAAAGTCTTTTTTTTTTCCCATGCGTGTTTGTAGTTTGAGAGAATGGTGAGAAATACAGTCCGAGGCTAAGTACGGTGTCTGAAATGTCTTTAGAAGCTGAGGCTGTGCTTCGTGAGGCAGATCGTGCACATTTAAACCTACTCTTCCTTACTCTTGGCACTGAACCAGCGGCTGGAGCCAGAGTCTATTTGCATTTATTTTAGCCTGTATCATAACATGTTAAAATAAAAACCTGGAGTCACTTGTCTGTGGAGTTCAAGGAATGCAGTACAAATTTGCTCAAATGAAGTTGCTTTCTTTATTCCTTTTGGATTAAAATCATAGGAGATGGCACGCTCTGAGCACAGAAGACCCAGCAAAAGGAAGGAAAGTCTTAATGTGAAGCATGCAGAGTTGGAAGAGTATATATCTCTAGGCCTATTTGTAGTTTCAGGTTTAAAGACATGCAGAGGTGACCACAAATATAGGGGATTTGGGTTTTTAGTCATTTCCTTAGAATGGGTTCATTCTTTTTCTAAGGAACAATGTTAGGAGCATTAGAAATGAATTGTGAGTAATACAGCTTTTAGAAGAAAATAAAATGAAAACAGAGTGGGTCTGCAGTGATCAAATGAAAGTGCTGAGTGTTAATAGAACATAAACAGTAATAGGATAAAGACTATGGCTTTGGAAAAGACTAATTATATTGCAAGCACTCAGGATACAGATTATAATGTAAGCCCTATTGTTCTACTCTAGTGTAGAATTGGAAATCTTGCCATTTTACATAAGGCTCTCTTGTAAAATATGTAGAAATATTATATTTCAAATAACAACTAAGCTTTTGAGAATATATGAGATTAAAAAGATGTTTTTAAGTTATCCTGTATTTTACTACATAAAAATTCGTTAAACTCTGGACAATTCAAAAAGAAAAGAGAATAAAAACAAACTGTTATTGGTTTATGTATTTGGTTCATAATAGATATTCAATAAAGTGGGATGAAGACCTGTACCTTTGAGTTTGATTGAATGTAATCTGGAAAGAGGGATAATGATGGCTTTTTAAAAAATATTTGAAGATGTCTAATGTTTCATGTGGAGCAGACACTAGAATTTTTCTGTATGAGCTAGTGAAGTAGAACCAGAACCAGTGGGTGTTAGCTCAACAAAATAGGTTTTTGACTCATCATAGTGACCTTCTAACATTCAGAGTAATTTAAATTTTAGATTAGGCTAGTTTAAGAATAAACTTATTAGAAAACTGTAACAGAACAATAAGAAATAAATTTTTTTAAATTTTACCATTTATAACAGTTTCAGGAAACACCTGATACATAGGAAAACATTTAACAAAAGATGTACAAGATCTATACCTGAAAATGGCAAAATATTAATGAGAGATGTTAAACAAGAGCCAAAGAAATTGAGGGATTTAGCTTCTTCATGGATTGGAAGACTGAAGTCGTTTCTTAACCAAATGTATCTACTGGAAATTTGTCTAGTAGAAATTTATTGATGGAAAACCTAATCTAAATCTTAGCATTTTTTTTAAAAAGCTAATTGTAAAATTGACATGAAAATGCAATAGCCGTGGTGATCTTGAAGAAGAGCTACTTCACGGACATCAGTATACTTACGAAGTGATGGTAATTAAAGCTGTGGATTGGGATAGAGACCAGTGGAACAAAATAGAGAATCCGAAAGGCATTTATATTTATGTTAAAACTAGCACTGCAGTACAATGGGGAAAGGACAGTCTTTTCAGTAAATCATGGTGGAGCAATTAAAGATCTATGTGGAAAAGATCTATGAATATTGATTATTACCTAATATATACACAAAACCTAAATATCAGATGGATTGTGGATCTAAGCATGAAAGGTAGAACATAAAGTATTTAGAGGAAACTCTCTTTATGATCTTGGAGTAAGCAAAAGTTTCTTTAACAGACATACAAGATGTTTACCATAAGAGAAAAAATTAACAAATTAGAATTATTACAGTTACATCTGTTATTCAAAAGACCCTATTAAGAAAGTAAAAAAGAAGACACAGAGTGGGAGGAGATACTTGTAATACATATTTCCAACAAAGGACTTCTACCCAAAATATATATAGACAGCATCTATAAATCAGTAAGGAAAAAGGAAGACAACCCAATTAAAAAAAATGGACATAAAACAGGAATAAGCCTTTTGCAAAAGAGCCTCTCACTGGGCACGGTGGCTCACGCTTTCTAATCCCTGCACTTTGGGAGGCTGAGGCGGGTGGATCATGAGGTCAGGAGTTCAAGACCAGCCTGGCCAACATAATGAAACCCCTCCTCTACTGAAAATACAGAAATTAGCCAGGTGTTGTGGCGGGTGCCTGTAATCCCAAGTGCTTGGAAGGCTGAGGCGGGATAATAACTTGAACCCAAGAAGTGGAGGTTGCAGTGAGCCAAGATCATGCCATTACACTCCAGCCTGGGCAACAAAGCAAGACTTCGTCTCAAAAAAAAAAAAAAAGCCTCTCTGTGGACAATAAACATAGGAAAAGATTATCATTAGTAATCAAATCGAATTGTAAACATAATGTGATACCACTGTACACCCACTATAATGCTTAAAAAGAAAAAGACTTTACCAAGCATTGGTGTGGAGGTGCAGTAATTGGAACTGTCATTTGCTGTGGGTAGGTATATATTGTGCCATTGTTTTGGAAAGCTGGCAGGATTTACCACAGCTTAAAGTACACAAATGCTATGACCTCAAAGTTTCACTCTTTGGTATATATGCAATGGAAATGCATACATATATTCAAGAAAGTGTTACCAGAAAGGGGTCCCAATCCAGACCTCAAGAGGGGGTTCTTGGATCTCGTGTAAGAAGGAGTTTGGGGCAAGTCCATGGAGTAAAGTAAGAAAGCAAGTTTATCAGGAAGGGAAAGGAATAAAGAATGGCTACTCCACAGGTAGAGCGGCCCGCAGGGCTGCTGCTTGCCCAATTTTATGGTTAATTCTTGATTATATGCTAAACAAGGGATGGATTCTTCATGCCTCCCCTTTTTAGACCATATCGTGTAACTTCCTGGCATTAACCTGGCATTTGTAAACTGTTATGCTGCTGGTTGGGGTGTAGCAGTGAGGACAACTAGAGGTCACTTGGTTTTGGTGGGCTTTGTCTGGCTTTTTGACTGCAGGCTGTTTTATCAGCAAGGTCTTTATAACCTGTATCTTGTCCCCACCTCCTGTCTCATCCTGTGACTTAGAATGCCTTAACTGTCTGGGAATGCAGCCCAGTAGGTCTCAGCCTCATTTTACCCAGCCCAATTAAAGATGGAGTTGCTCAGGTTCAAACACTTCTGACAAAATAATCTGTTCAAGAATGTTTGTAATAGCACTGTTTGTAAAAGCCCCAAATTAAAAAACAACTCAAATGCTCATTGTTCATGATCTCCAAATTAATTATAGAGTATTCACAACCATGAAAAACCGTTCAACAAAGAGAAGGTAACTTCTACTACTCACAACAATGTGGATAAACCTCAGAAACTTGCTGTTTAGACAAAGAAGTCAGTTACCCAAGTTTCCATTTTAAATACAATTCAAAAGAAGGTAAATGAATCTATGGTGTTAATAGTCAAGGAAGTGGTCACCCTTGACAGGCGAGGTGTGATTGGAAGGGTGTGCTGGCTACCTTTTGTTTTTGATCAGGGTGTTGGTTACATGGGTGTGTTCACTTTGTGAAAATTCAGTGAGCTAAAATTTACACGTAATGATTTGTGCACCTTTCTGTAGATCTTAAGAGATACAAAAGCAAGGCTTTGTGATGGAATTGAGTTGTCCTTGTAACTAAGCTGGTGTGTGAGCAGAGAGGAAATGTAGGGGAGGTGCCTGCCTTCTGAGGTGCTTTGAATGTGTAGTTTTCAGAAAAGGTTTCAGAAAGTTTATGGTCTAAAGGACTTACGGTCTAAAGGACCATAAGGAGATGACGATTGGCAGCTCTAAGTCAAGCGTCTAGAGGACAAAAATCCTTTGCTAGAGAATGGCTGTTTTAGGAAAGCAGCCATAAACTAGGTTGGGATTCAGAAGCTCTAACACAGAAATAGAATATTCAGTCGTTTTGCTTTTGTTTTAAGAGATGGCACCTTGTTCTGTTGCCCAGGCTACAGTAAGAATATTTAGTAGTTTTAATTTTGATCTGAACAAATAAAAAATAACAAAAGCATTTGCAGTTCTGCCGTTTTATTTTTATTACAATAATTTCTTAGCCCTGTCAAAAAATTACATTGGCTATATAAAAAATCAGTGTGATTATTAAATAAGAATTGAAAAACCAAACCAAGCCTGAAGCAAAAGGAGAGAACAAATACAGTAACTGTGAAGACATGGTCAGAACAGGTGTTGGACTTGAGGTGCACCCAGATTGTCACCGTTACAACATCCAGAGCGGAAAGGGGAACACATACAACTTCCTAGGATGAGACTTACTTCCCTTGCCCTTAAAACTTTGAGGCACATTTCTTATCTGAAGCATTAAAGAGGCAACATTGAACAACATAATATGAGTGCTGCAGTAAATAATATCAGTTGAATTGACAGATTGTTTTTTATAGTGACCTTCCGTAAAGACAAAGAAAAGCCCATTCAAGGGTATCGTGCTCAAAGGAACCAACACTTCAACCACCCCCATCCCCAGTCTCATTATCTGGGAAATGCACCACGTTCGGGGCTTTCTTGCTGCTTTCAGAGAGTGATTTCCCATTTGTTTTCATTGAGCAGGTGCCCGGGAAGAACCCAGCATCCAGCAGGCACAGCGTCGGTCAGCTGTCTTTCTGTCCTTTAAGTCCCCAATTCCGTGTCTGCCCTTGCGCTGGGAGCAGCAAAGCAAACTTCTTCCAACTGTCGCTGGAATCCCTGCCAGTAAAGTTTCCAAATGGAGCACAGATGAGGTATATTTTATTTTCTTTGTCAGCCAGACACCAGATACAGGAGTACTGGCTTAAGAGATGTGGAACATTGATCATAGGTAGTGTTTAGTCTTTTTGTTTTTTCCCTGAAAGAGAAGAAATTATTTTGAGAGAAATAACTAGTGCATATAGGTTAAATGTTTCGAACCTGTAGCATTTAGATTCTGACTGTTTTTTTTTTTTTTAACTGGGAATTTTAATACTACTTTACAGGTGTCAGAATTTATACAGAGCTTACCTGGGTGTGAAGAACATGGAAAGGTATTTAAAGATGAAGTAAGTGTTCCACTAAATTGCAATATGTGACTTAATGGGATCAAAGCACTGAAATGCAGTGGATGGTGAAATGTGTGTAACTGGCAGAGTCAGAAAGAGATGGGTTGTGTTGAAATTGACAAATTGATGTATGCTAACAGGAAGTGTGAATCCGTTGTATAAAAATATCTTTGTATAAGATGAGATGCAAAAGAATGTTTGTGAGTGCCATTTTATGATGCTTCCCAGCAGTAACACCAGGCTTCTTATAAAAAGAAAACCCATAGAACTTAATAGCATGCACTTACATAGTTTATAGCACAGAAGAAGCCAAAGAAAGAAATAAGCAGCATTTTATCTTTTTAATAAAGGGAAATTAGTTTTCATTATTTTATTTTTCAATATCATTCTAACAACACTATGATTGACTCCATTTGAAGCTTGTAATAAGTAGTATTAGCATTATATCTAAAAAAATCCCTTAAATTATATACATGCCTCAATAATGTTTTTAGTAACATATTCATCACAGTCCACTTTTGGAAGATTATTTTATTAATTGTTTTCAACTACCTCTCCAAAACTTCTATATAAGGGGTGATTGAGAATGATCACAGTGAGCACTAGAATTAAAAGGAATCTGGCTTCTGACTTTTAATTCTGTAAATGTACAGCAGAACAGCCTTTTCAGTAGGGACCTTCAAAAATAAGCTGTTTGCCTGTCATCTCCTCCAAGCAAAGCAGTCAATTACCCCTCTGATTTTGGCTCTGGCTACTCCTGCCAGAAGGCAGAAAGTAGACTGAGTAATCTCAGAAGGCTTTCTCCAGCATCTGCTGTCTGCAGTTACACACATACTCACCTTGTTTGCCCGTATGTGTAAAGCTCAGCTGTTAACAACAGCACACTTTCAGTTTCATTGCAGGAGTGTAGACACAACTAACAGTCCAGCCACCAGTTGTCAGTGTCGTTATACTGTTAGGTAAACTTTCTGTGTTAGAGGAAAGCCTGTTAGATTAATGCACAAGGATCTGACTTCTAACATCCTTTTTCTAATTTATGTTCTTATTGTACAAATGTTTTATTTTCTCCAAATTTGATATTTAATTGGCAGTTACTCAGATTTTCTTTCCCTAAGTTCTAAGGGTCTTTAGTCTCAATTCGTTTTATCTTTATTTTTTTCTTTCCTTTTATTTTCTTTCTTTTGTTGAGAGAGAGTCTGACTCTTTCTCTCCTAGGCTGGAGTGCTCACTGCCACCTCCACCTCCCGGGTTAAAGCAATTCTCCTGCCTCTGCCTCCCAAGTAGCTGGGATCACAGGCGCCCACCACCATGCCTGGCTAATTTCACCATGTTGACCAGGCTGGTCTTGATTTCTTGACCTCAGGTGATCACCCGACTTGGCCTCCCAAAGTGCTGAGATTATAGGCGTAAGCCACCGTACTCAGCCTGAATTCATTTTCTATCCCTGAGTGGACTTAGAGCCACATAAGGAGCCGTTGGTCTGTCTTGGAAAGTATCATGTAGTCATTACCTTTGAAAATGATAAAGCATTTTTGAAAATAAATTTATAACTTGTTTTTTATTCTGTTGAGATCTGATAATCCATATAGATTTGCTCTATTATTCAATTTAAGATTCAAGTTTAAATTCAAAATGATATGGTATTTCTTTGAGTAATTTTTTTATTCATGGCAAATTGTCTATGAAGAGTTCCTCAGTCACCAAATATCCTCAAAGCCAGATCCTTCTTTACTGAAGTGAGATAGTTAATGTTCTCTGTCGATATGTATTATTCACTCTTTCCTTCATTTATCTTGTGCTTGTTAAATTCCTACAATGTGTATGTTACTCTGTAATGCTCTTGTGAGAAGGAAGATTTGAAAATAACCAATACTTGTTCTCGAGTGTCTCACAAGGTCAGTGGGTTCGGGTTTTGGGTTCTACAAGTAAAACATAGTACAAATTTAACTGAAGTCTTATAAATCATCTCTAAAAGGCAAAGTACAAGTATTCATATAGGCTCTTGTTGGAAATCATCCTTGACTTCTCTCTTACCCATGCCACATCTAATCTGTTGAAAATCCTATTGGGTGTATCTTTGAAACATATAAAGACCCTATCACTCCACCCCCACGGCCACCAGCATTCTGGTCTGCTCCACCATCCTCTCCCACCTAGATGAGTACAGTACCCTCTAGACTCATTTTCCTCCTCCTATTTTTGCTCCTCTACAGTCTTTTCCCAACACAGCCAGGGTGACCCTGCTGAAACATAAATCAAACCATGTCACTCTTTTGTTCAGATCCTTCCAGTAGCTTTGTCTCTCAATCAGAGTAAAAGTAGAACTCCTCACAATGGCCTGCAGCTGGACACCTCACTACCTTGCCTCCTGGCTCTTTGTTTACACTGCCCCTCATAGGTCTACATGGTGGCCTCCTTGCCGTTCCTCTGATCGTGCAGGCTTGCTCCCACTCTTCCTTCTGCCCAGAACACTCTTCCTCCAGATGTTCACATGGCTCACTCCTGCTCAGTTGCCAGCTTACCAATGAGTTCTGCCCTGACTATCCTACTTGAAATTGCCTCTTGTTGCTACATATGCATCCCTGCTCCTGCTGCCCATTCATCTTCCTAGTCAGCTCTGTTTAATCATAGCGCAAATCACCTTTTGTGTGTGTGTGTGTGTGACAGAGTCTTGTTCTGTCGCCCAAGCTGGAATGCAGTAGCACAATCTCAGCTCACTACAACCTCCGCCTCCAGGATTCAAATGATTCTCATGCCTCAGCCTCCCAAGTAGCTGGGACTACAGGTGTGTGCCACCACACCCGGCTAATTTTTATGTTTTTAGTAGAAATGTGGTTTCACCATATTGGCCAGGCTGGCCTCGAACTCCTGACCTCAAGTGATCTGCCGTCCTCAGCCTCCCAAGTACTGGAATTATAGGCGTGAGCACTGCGCCTGGGCAACATAAGTCACTTTCTAACTTCTTAATTAATTGGCTCACTTAACTATGTTTATTGGCTTATGGTCTGTCTACCCATAAGTCACTTTCTAACTTCTTAATTAATTGGCTCACTTAACTATGTTTATTGGCTTATGGTCTGTCTACCACTTCTAGAATGTAAACTCCACAAGAAGTTTTTTGCTTGCTTGTTTTTGTTTTTATTCCCTGCTATATGTCTAGGCCCAAGAAGAGTGCTTGGAATATAACAGACATTCACTCTGGGAAAGACTCATTCAGACAGAGCATGTCACCGTGGTTTCAAGTTAAAGCATTGGAAAAGAACAAACAGTGCACAGTGGAAAGGGCAGGGAAATGGAAGGCAAGAGCTCCTGAATTCCAAATCCCTCTCCCTCGTTTAGGTCATTAGCAAGACACCTCATCTCTGGAATTATAGCAGTGTATATGCGTTACAGAAGCAAACAAAAAAAATAAGTCTTGTCATGCATCGCAGTGGTCTGCTGTTCTTAAAATGTAGTTTCTTGAATTAAGTTGACTTCCTTCCAATCACGGCTTGTTCTTAGGGCCACAGGTCAGAGCAACCTGTATGTAATAAAGGGTTTTGAAGTAGCCTCAAGACTTTTTTCTTTCTAGTGTATGTAACCTTATGACTAACAACCTACCAAAACGTATCCTTCCTGTCCCACTGTTAACTTCAAACCCCAACCACTAAGTTCTCCGGATGCTCCTTTGCATCAGTCATCTGTTGTGTTATCCTCTTACATAGTCTCAGAAGGAGACTCGGTGCCTGCCCCAAGCCTTCAGCACAGCCAAGGTTATGATAAACCAATCAGTCTCTGTAGTGGGCTTCTTGGGAATGTCAGTTGACATTTTCATTAATGACTTAGAAGACTTCTAAAAGGCTGTCCATTGTACTAAGGCCTGCCTGGGCTGCGGGAAGTGTTAATAGATCTGCCTGTCTTCCTGACCTTGCTTGTTTATCATAGGGCTGTCATAGCACAGGCAAATGAGAACAGAGCAAGTGTTTCCAAAAAACAGGAGAACATTCCTCACACCTGTCACTTTGCTGTGCTGCACTTGGAGATTAACACTAGAATGTCTTTCCTTCTGGTTTATAACCGCAGGATGTCTTTTTCCTGAAATTAGCAAACTTTTTCCACATAATTGTTACTTGAAGAAGTTGTATAAGGTGACTCTAGTTCTTCCTGATTAAGCATTTAGGTAGTCAATATTTACAGGTCTTTCATTTTTGGAGGAGAGAGGAAAATCTTAAAAAGTAGCTATTATATCAGCCTTTGTTTAGAGAACTGTTTGCAGAATTTAGAGTTGTCTTAGTTTTCTAGGGCCACCATAACAGTGCCAGCCACAAACTGGTAGCTTAAATAGTAGAAGCGCATTGTCTCACGGTTGGAGAAGCTGGGAATCTGAAGAAGGCTGGAAGTCAGGGTTGGCCGTGTCGCTTCCTTCCAAGGCCTGTGAGGAAAGAGTCTGTCCTGGCCTCTCTCCTTGACTTGTAGATGACAGGCTCTCTTTGGGTCTTTATGTTGCCTTTCCTCTATGCGTGTCTGTCTCTTTATCCAGATCTCTCCTTTTTGTGAGGACACCAGTCTTATTGGATTAGGCACCCACCCTACTCCAGTATGACATCGTCTTAACCAGTCACCTCTGCATTGACCCTGTTTCTAAATAAAAGCTACACTCCAGGACATCAACATATGAATTTATGGCAGGGACACAGTTCAACCCGTAACAGTGCGTTGCTATCAAGGTTTCTGATGTTCTAAGGCAGAGAACAAAAGTGTGTTTTACTTTTTGTACAAGGTGGGAAAATTGAAAGGGAAACTCTTTTTTTTTTTTTTTTTTTTTTTAAGGTTACAAAGTTATCTAAGAGCTGAAAGTCATACTGAAAGACTGTTTCTTTGCTCTGCCCAGTAAGCCAGACATCATCTTCATAGTATTTTATCTTTTAACCTAAAAGATGTGTTGTACCTTTGAACTTCTAGAGAGCAGTGGCCTGTTTTTCAGAAGCATAGACTTTTGTCTTAAAAGATACCCAGAGAGAGGAAGGGTCTTTCTCATGATTACCCAAGTATTAGAAGAACCACCTTAAAGTCTGTAACTCTTAACACCAGCCTCACATTCAATTTGATTGCCTTTGTTAGTAAATGGTTTTCTTCTGTGTGTAAGGACTAATTGTGGCCACATTAGAAATAAATGTTATCTTTCTGATATTCTTCATGGTGGAAGGCTAATTTGGGGAAAACAAATTGTTGCATGTAGCTGATGTGTTTGCTGAATTATTTTATGTCCATGAACATTCATGTACCTGTTATCTCTTCTAATTTAAAAACCTGCCATGATACAAACTAGATTTTGGGCACCTTGGATTTTTCCATATTCTTCTTAACTCTACATCTAATTCAGAGTAATCACAGGAAGGTATGGGCACCTTCTGTTTTCCTGTGGGCTGGTTTTTCAGGTGAATTAGTTTACTTTGCTCCAAGTCCACTTTTGGGCGTGTCGTTGTGGATAAGAAAGGTCCATATATGAAGAAATGTCTTTGCACGCGTGAACCTCTGTGTCGGCTTTTTTTAGCATTGCTGTGTAGAAGACAGCTGATAACTTAACCTAGAATATATTCTACAGCACTGCATCTTACTAATCTGCATTCTGTTGGTTTTTCCCCCCATTTTAGCAAATTGATGGAGAAGCATTTCTACTTATGACTCAAACAGACATTGTTAAAATTATGAGCATTAAACTGGGCCCTGCTCTGAAAATTTTCAATTCCATCCTGATGTTCAAAGCTGCAGAGAAGAATTCTCACAATGAACTTTGAAGATGGTGAATTCTGAATACCATCAGCATTCTGCTTTAAAGCTCATGTTTTATTCAAAGCACAAGGACGGTTATAACTCCTAAGTGAGAAGTCTCCAAAACTCAAAAGAGCAACACTATCAGATTATTTATATTCCTCAAGAGACAATATAAATGAATTCTTATGAAAGTGCTTGAGCTTTTAACCAGGTACTGTCTAACAACAGTCATCTTTTGGTTCTGTTCACTGAGCTAAATTTATCTTTGTAAATCTTTTTGAGGCTGGGTGGGGGGTGGGGGAAAAGGGGAACTTCATTAATTATTTATGGTAATGGAGGGCAGAGTAAGAACTTTTGGCATTTTGTAAACATTGTTGAATTCTCTTTCATGTACACTGTTTCTTTTTCAATACTTTCAGAAACCTTTTTATATAATCAGATTTCGATTTAAACCAAATTAGTCAAAACCTGGCTAAGTTTAGCCAGTAGGACTGTTATCTGTATCGTTAATTTTGTGCCATATTTTGAATTGCAACATTATGCCAAGTATAACTTTGCAAGTCATGATATTGCCTAACTGCTTGTCATAATTGTCAGGGCTGAATAGTTGTAAGAATGACTTTTCTTTGAATCAGTGTTTTTACTTTTGCACGCATTATGAAATGTTAAACAAATTACTTTTCACCAGCATCTTTACTATAATTACCAAAAACATGTATATAAAAGAATGGAATTGAAAAATAAAGCATATAAACATAAATAAATTAGGTAGTGTATTTGAGTGGCATCAGTCTCACGAATCTTGGTGCCCCGGTGTTTACAGGAGCCAGATGGTATCAGAGGAGTATGCAGTTGTATGCAGTTATGTTTGGGGGATGTTTGTGAGGGTCTTGAACTATTTATGAGATGATCTTGAGCTTCTAATTGTCATTGATGAAATTGTGATGCTTTACAGAGACCAAGAGCTCATCTGTCAACAGAAACACTAATCTGTAAAGAGCCCTGTCTCAGGTCATGCATTGTCCTCCAAACCCAAAGGTTTTTTTCAGGGTTGGCTGAAGAGCGAGTGTCTCGGTTTTACTGAAAAGACAAGGTGTGAGGGAGCAAGCAACTCCAGGTGACACAAAATTTGAAATGCTCACAGATCAGGGAGGTGACTTCCCAAAGTAATTATCCAAGAACCTCCATTTTGGAAGAATTCCTTTTTCGGTAGAATACTTTGCCTCGATATATAAGCATACAGATGCACTTTAAATGAAAACCCTTGATTATAAATTGATAGCTGGTAGTGTTTTTTTTGCAAGAATGCATTTCTAAGGCAAAAGGTAAATTATTTTGTCAGTCTTTTGATGTACTTTCTGATTCCAGGAATGGATATTTATTCAAGGACTATTTTAAAAATAGAAAGTAAGTTTGTAGCATGCTGTCTGAATTCTGGGGAAAGCGCCATCTCTTCTTTAGTTGCTGTCAGTTTTTTCAGATGTAGGACTTCCTTTGATGTTCTTGTTGGAAGTCCATTAGCAGTCCTTCACTTTGTCAATTCGAGGTTAAACAGGGTCAGTGACATCTGCAGTGTCCCAATCATTTATTTGCATGAATCTGCTTAAATAAGTTTTTGGTTGTTGTTGTTTTTCCTTTTTTATGTTTTGTTCAGAATTTGTACATTCAAGTTGTACTTGTTATATCTGATATGAATGAAATAAAATCTTAATTGCAGATGCTTTTTACATATGTATGATTTTTGAGAAAGCTTCTCAAATAGGAGAGGCAGAACAAGAACAGGAAGAGCATCAGGTATTTAGACATTACTAGTTATGTAATGAATCTGTAGGATTCAGAGTTGTCAAAACTGTGTCCCAGGATGATGTGATGAGCTACAAAAATGCTGAAGATTATATTGTTGGTCAAGTCCAGTTCATCCTCACTGGGAAGTTTTCTTTTCTAGTGTAAAGCATAGTTTAAATCATGAAATTTTAATTTTATTTTTTTCCTGGAGAGAGTCCCACTCTGTTCCCCAGGCTGGAGTGCAGTGGTGTGATCTCAGCTCACTACAACCTCTGCCTTCTGGGTTCAAGTGATTCTTCTGCCTCAGCCTCCTGAGTAGCTGGCTTTACAGGCACCCACCACCCACAGCTGGCTGATTCTGTATTTTTAGTAAAGATGGGGTTTCGCCATGTTGGTCAAGGTGGTGTCTCGAACTCCTGACCTTAGGTCATCTACCCAACTCAGCCTCCCAGAGTGCTGGGATTACGGGCATAAGCCTCGCCTTCCATCTGATGTTTAAAATCTTATTGAAGACGTCCACTTGTTCTAAGCAGCATGTTAAAGCCAAGGCATTAAGCATCTGCAGGGTGGGGCAGAATTCACTGTACCTCAAGAAGGCAAAAACACTCATCACTCCATCCCTGGGATATAGTCTGAATTTTAACAGAGAAAATAGGGCACCATGATTGTAGGGAGATCTCTGAAATGAGAGATGTAGGCTTGGGGTAAGAGAAACAGTGGAAGCCGAGCTCAGTGACTCAAGCCTGTAATCTCAGCTACTCAGGAGGCTGAGGCAGGAGGATCGCTTGAGCCCAAGGATTTTGAGACCAACCTGGACAGCACAGCAAGACCCCATCTCAAAAGAAAAAAAGAGACAAGAGAGGAATGGAAAATACAGACCTTGATAGGACCTTCCCATCTAAAGGCATTCTTTATAACACTACTGAAAAAACTGCAAGCTGAATAAAACCTTTCTGCAGGTTGATACTTATTCTCAGGCTGTCATTCTGCAACATCTAGATTCAGGAGACTCCACCCCCAAATAAAATAGGGTGTGTTGGTCAAGCAATGTTGAATTTATCAGGTGTCAAGACCGTGCTGGGCACTGGGGATAGATACACCATTGAGAAAGACAATAAAATGGGCTTAAATCTGCCTTCAAGATCAGCCCATGTCTGTGTCATGGTTGGAGCCAAGCAGTTTCTTTATAGCTACACCTTGTCATCTTGTCCCGGCCTGAGAGAGGCTGTCGTACAACTTCAGCCATAGGAGTATGAACTTGGGAAATTTATTTTGGGGGAAAAAGTACTACTAAAGGGCAAAAGGAGTAATTTGGGGAAATAAAGGAAAGTCTGTAAGGAAACAAAGGTACATTTTGGTGAAAGGGAAGAAATGAGAACTGGAGGACAGGAACTAAATGAGGCAAAACACTTGTGCCAAATTGTTACTTACTCTGTGCGTTCTGATGTAAATAATTAATAGCCATTGTAGAAAGGGGAAACTGTTCTTTGACTTTTATCTCACTGGCTTCAGCATTTTAATGAACAGTCCTCATATAGAGAACAGTATCTAGCAGGCTGTTGTCATTTCAGTGATAGAATAAATACTGTGCAGTATTTCCAGAGATGGGTAGTGTAAAACTATTTCTTGAATAGCACATGAACCTTCGTTTTGTTTTTGTTTCATTTTTTTGAGACACAGTCTCACTCTGCCCAGACTGGAGTGTGATTGCACGATCTTGGCTCACTGCAACCTCAACCTCCCAGATTCAAGCAGTTCTCCTGGCTCAGCCCCCCAAGTAGCTGGGACTACAGGCACGTACCACCACACCCAGCTAATTTTTTTTATTATTAATAGAGATGGGTTTTCACAGTTGACCAGGCTGGTCTCGAACTCCTGACCTCAGGTGATCCACTGGTCTTGGCCTCCCAAAGTGCCAGAGTTACAGGCGTGAGCCACCACGCCTGGCCCACATAAACCTTTCTTAAACTTAAAAAAAAAATTAACTTGATGTTGTAATCCAGGAAATGCTCATCCCATTATGATGTGTAGATATTTTAATGCACTTAAATCTCTTTTCTATCCCCAAAAGGACCTGGTCTGCCTTTCAAAGCTAATAAGTAATGCTGATATTTTGAGAACATCAAAGGGCACCTTAAAGTATAGTTTTTAACCTTGTGAAATAGTTGGAAAGAGTGAGAGTGCACTGAGTCTTGTTAGATCCAAAAGGTACTTATGCAGCCATTGTTAAGAGCAGAACAGATAGAACTGGACTCTGGGCAGTAGCCAGTTGGGCATGCAGGATGAGTCACTGTATCTCCAAGGCGAGAAGCAGTAGCAGATGAACACAGGTCACAGACATCAGGACCTGTCCCAGCAAGATCAGCCAGCAGTGAAGAGAACTCAGAATTACCACAGCCCTTGTTCTCAGCAAGTGATTGAAGACAACCAGATCTCCTAGGGCAAGGCAGATCACCTGAGGGAGAAAAGAGTATGTGTCCCTTCTTGAAACGTGCAAGTTCAAAATGTTCCCAAGTGATGTTCAGACCAAAGAGACAGAGCACAGGCCACAGATGTGCAGCTCCTGGGCATTACGTGGGCACACTGAGTTCAATCGAGGCCATACTCTAACCTAAAAGATTTGAGTAAATCTGAAGTACAGTGTATTTGAAAAAAACAGGCACCTCTGAAAATACAACTTCAACTATGAAATTTCTAAGAACTCAAATCAACAGCTCTTCAATTAAATAAAATTGTATTACAGAATTTCAGAAAGAACTAAGTGTAAAGACAAAGCATTGACATTCATTAGCGTCTATGATACAAGATGATTTTCTTACACCTACCTCTACCACAACCCTAAGTCAAAACAATTTTTTATAAAGCTTCAGCTTTCCCAGAAGGAAATTCCGATGCAATATGTGGCATGCTATTAGGTGACTGGGTGTTGAAACCCTACTTCCTTTTACTTTTCTTTCAAAGAAGGAAAATAGGGACTGTGCATATCAAAAATCAGTGTTTCTAGGAAGTTGAACGTTTGGGACAGTCTTCTTGGATACTCAATCCCAAATACATGAAAGGCAGCTACTAGTGCAGCCAAGGCTGTAACACAGTTATCCACCTTCGTGAGCCTCTCCCTTTCTAAATACAAAGAAAATTCGCAGACCTCCATGTTGAAAGGGTTTTTAACTTCTAACACGGGTGTGGACACTTGCACCTGAAAAAAAGAATGGAGTCATTACCATGATATGTGAAATAACTAAGTAATGAAACAGACCTGAACTTCATCATGAGTTACAATAAATGGGCTTATTGCAATGTAGCATATTTGTAAATACGACAAACATACTTCAAAACACACCACTAACTTTGCTTTTAAATAAATTATCGTGGCCAAGCTCGGTGGCTTCATGCCTGTAATCCCAGCACTTTGGGAAGCCAAAGCAAATGGATCACCTGAGGTCAGGAGTTCGTGACCGGTCAGGAGTTTGGGACCAGCCTGGCCAACACCATGAAACCATATCTCTACTGAAAATACAACAAATAGCTGAGCGTGGTGGTACATGCCCGTAACCCCAGCTACTCAGGAGGCTGAGGCATGAGAATCACTTAAACCCAGGAGGCAGAGGTTGCAATGAGCCAAGATCATGCCATTGCACTCCAGCCTGGGCAACAGAGTGAGACTCCATCTCAAAAAAAATAAATAATATAAATAAATAACAAATAAATTACTGCATAAAGATGTAAAATGTCAAACCAGTGGCCATTCACATACTACACACCTGTTCATTCATGATGACAAAAAGACTGGGATCATCCCCAAAAACATCTGGGAGGAGTAAACATGTGGCTGTCATCTTCATGTCTGTCAAAGCAAGTATGTTAACATTTGAAGCAAAAATAAGCTTCTAGCAGTTGTAAGCTAAGCTACTACTGAAACATCTGAATTTTCTTGTTACCTTGGACAGAGAACAAACTAGCCTTCTTAGATAAGTGTTTCAGACCTTTTTAAAACACACCCTCTTCTAATAAAACATTCAAAGTCACATGTCTGCCCTCCAGAGCACTGCCATGAAAAGACAAGAGTTCTGTACTGTCTGTCCATCAGCCAAGAAGATTTTATCATGCTGCCCCTTGTGATTTGTATTATAACATTAACATGTTACTAGTTCCGTAAATATAGCTTTACAATATACAGTATACTTTTAAAATATATACCTCTCCTCCTCCCCTTATTTGAAAAATTATTTTTTATTTCCCACCAGCTGTTTCACTTATTACTTAAATACTGAAAATTATTAAATATATTTTAGTCATGTCAATTTTTAATAATTTTTAAATATATTTTTGAACTCAGTAAATGTAAATTACTGAATTTTACTGATGAGCAAAGCACAACTTTTCTAGCTATCCTGACAGATAGCAGACCAAATCACACCACTCCACAAGGCTTACTAACGTTTCAACATGTCTTCATCTGTGTACTGTTTCATTTTCTCTTGTAACGCAATATTGATTTGATTGTCCACCACTGAGAAAGAAGTCAGTATATTTTCTGAATAGGATTCCAAAATGTGCCTTGTTTTCTTACAAATATCTGTTCTTGTAAGAAGTTGGAACTCTCTGAACATCTGAAAAAAGAAGAAAGCAGTGGATACATCAGATCACAAGAAAAGCTAATATATATAATTACAGACATAAAACCTTTAGAATTAAGCTGTGAATACAGGTTAAACTAAGTACTAGATATTTCAGAAGCTTTAGTGGAGAATTAAAGCTTTAGGATGAGGGAGGAGAAAAAGCCTAAAGTGAATGTGAAAAGATAAGTAATAGACATGGCAGATTTCTAAACCCACAGCATTAAAACTTTGGATGCAAACTCAATTAAATGAGGATTCAAAGGATGTATGGGTATGTAGGCTATTTGGGTTACCCAGCTAAGATTCTAGGAACTTACATTTCTTTAGGTAAACTACATTGTTAGGTCTTGTTCAACAAGCAGCAAATAACAAAACTATCAGATTTTAGGAAGCAGCCCCTGAAAAATACATAACCGCAGTATCCTAAGTTTAGGGAAAGGATAGTGCTTTAGAAACACTGTAAGAGTAGACAGAGGTAAACAGTGCAAAACAATGTATGGCTGGGCATGGTGGCTTAGGCTTTTAATAGTAGCGTTTTGGGAGGCCAAGGCAGAAGGATCACTTGAGCCCAGGAGTTTGAGACCAGCCTGGGCAACAGAGCAAAACTCCGTCTCTACAAAAAATATCAAGATTAGCTGGGCATGGTGATATACATATATAGTCCCAGCTACTCAGGAGGCTGAGGTGAGAAGATTGTCTGAGCCCGGGAGATCAAGGCTACATTGAACTAGACTATGCCACTGCACTCCAGCCTGGGCAACATAGTAAGACCCTGCCTCAAAAGAGAAGAAAGAAAAACAGTGTATTTGACTACAAGATCAAAGCAAACCAATTTACTTTATGGAAGTCCCTTTCCTCACACTACCCCTTCATACCACTGCCTGAATTCTTCCCCCTCAGAGGATTCCACCACCACTCCCCAGTTGTTTTTGAAAGAGTGGCATTATCAGATTATTAGCCACCCACACTTGCATGAATGAATTTACTCATTGCTTTTCCTAAAACTATTAAGAACAATCACATACTACCTGCTGGGCTTCACTGTTTCTTGAATGTTTTCGTAGATCATAAATTGTCCAGAGATTAGGTCTGAAAGTTAAGTTGTCAGAAAGCTGGAATGCATATTGTCATAAAGGCATAGTGGCTTTGTTACTGGGCAACCCACAGTGGACCACTAACCCAGATTAATACCCTTAGAAAACAATTTTCTCAGCAAGAAGATGTGAAATGAAGGATGAAGAAGTGAATACTGCACTGTTCTAGGCTCATAGCCTAAGAATTTCTTTTCTGACTTTTTGTTTTGAAATAATTTCAAGCTTACATTAAAGTTGCATAAGTGGTAAGTACTCACAACTACCCTCTGCAACTTCCCCCAATTTCTGATCCATTTGAAAATGAGCTGTAGACATAATGCCCCACCATTCCTTAACACCTTATTGTGTATTTCCTAAGTACAAGGACACTCGAAGTCAAGCAAATCTGCACCACATTCCATTTAAATTTTCCGGTTGTTCCAGTCATGTCCTTAACAGGTCCAGGATCTAATCCAGGATCACAGGAGATTTAGATACCACGTCACTCTAGTGTCCAGTCTGAAACAACTTGTTCATTTCCTTGACCATTTCTGAAAAGTGGAAGCCAGTTACTTTGTAGAACATTTCTCCTTGGAGGTTTTATGATGTTTCCTCAGGATTTATGCATTTCTGGCAAGAATGTTAGCATTTCTCACTGCATCCAAAGCACAGAATGGTAACTGGTCCCGTATTGGAGATAATAACTTTTATTACTTGATTAAAAATGAAATTTGTCAAGTTTTCCCACTGTAAGGTTAATATATGTTGTGTTTTATGAGGATATATCTTGAGTTTATGTAAATATCTTGTTCCTTGTGTAACTGATCCATCAGATTCAACATCCATTGATGATTCTTGCCTGAATCAAGTACATAGTACTATCATAGCTGCCAAATGGAGACTTTTTGAATTCCATTCTTTCTACATTTATGCATTGGCGATTTTAAGATAGTTTCTTTTCTTTCACATACATTTACTTATTCATTTATTTCTATCACTACGGGTTAATAAATTCCCATTTTACCCAAACAGTTACAAATCTGATCCTTTCATTATTTATATAATTGCTCAAATTGTCCAGACTTGGCCAGTAGGAGCCACTTGAGACTGACTCTCTTGCCCTCTTGGCATATCCTTATTAGTCTGCAAGCACTTCCTTAATTTCTGGCATTACACAGTGTTTCAGACTCATCTTGTTTTGTTGTTGTTTTCATTTCTGCTTTGCCCCAACCCTGTAGGGAGATATTTCCCAAGAACTCTGATTACTTTTCATGAAGAACGGCCTTTAAAAACTAAGATTTCAGGCCAGGCACTGTGGTTCATGCCTCTATTCCTAGCTCTTTGGGAGGCCAAGGCGGGAGGATCATTTGAGCCCAGAAGTTTCAGACCAGCCTGAGCAACATGGCAAAATGCCGTCTCTACAAAAAATACAAAAATTTGCCAGGCACAGTGGCGCATGCCTGTAGTCCCTGACACTCAGGAGGCTGCAGGAGATCACCTGAGCCCTGGGAGGCCAAGGCTGCAGTGAGCCATGATCACGGCACTCCAGCCTGGGCAACAGAGTGAGATTCTATCTCAAAGAAAATACCCAACCAAAAAACCCACTAAGATTTCAGCCCTGGTGTGCCACTTGCTACAGAGATGTTATTGTTCTAGACTTTCTCATAGAAAAAATCTAGGAAATGTTTGAATTTGCATAAACACAGGCACCCTTTGACCCAGAAACATCAATAACTATACATCTGTATGTCAATATTAAATAGCTATACATACTAAAACCATGAGTTCACATTGATACTTTGAATTCCAAACCAGTATCACAGAGTGTGTCCTAACCTTCCCCTTCCATGCTTCTAACTCAACTCTCTTCAACAGTGAGATTCCTGGCTCCCATTATATCTCAGTGTATTTACTTATGAGCACAAATGTCTGTAGCAAAGCTCCTAAATGGGAACGGTCAGCCACAGAAAAGCCTCCCTCTCAAACACTTAATACACTGCTAATGGGAATGTAAATTAGTTCACCATTGTGGAGAGCAGGTTGAAGATTTCTCAAAGAACTTAAAACAGAACCATTTGACCCAGCAACCCCATTACTGGGTGTATACCCAAAGGAATATAAAGACACGTGCCACAGTGGCTCACACCTGTAATCCCAGCACTTTGGGAGGCCCAAGCAGGCAGATCATGAGGTCAGGAGATTGAGACCATCCTGGCTAACACAGTAAAATCCCGTCTCTACTAAAAATACAAAAAATTAGCCAGGCATAGTGGTGTGCACCTGTAGTCCCAGCTACTCAGGAGGCTTGAGGCAGGAGAATTGCTTCAACCCGGGTGGTGGAGGTTGTAGTGAACCCAGATTGCACCACTGCACTCCAGCCCAGGCAACAGAGCGAGACTCCATCTCAAAAAAAAAAAAAATGCACATATATATTCATTGCAGCACTGTTCACAATAGCAATAACATGGAATCCACCTAGATGCCCATCAATAGTGGACTGGATAAAGGAAATGTACATGTATGCCATGGAATGCTACACAGCCATAAAAAAGAATGAAATAATGCCCTTTGCAGCAAAACAGATGCATCTGGAGGCCATTCTTCTGAGCAAATTAATGCAGGGATAGAAAACCAGATACTATATGTTCTTTCTTATAAGTGGGAGCAAACCACTGAGTACACATGGACACAAAGAAGGGAACAAATAGACATGGGAGCCTACTTGAGATTAGTCGGTGGGAGGAAGATGAGGATTGAAAACCTGCCTATTAGGTATTATGCTCACTACCTGGGTGAGGAAATGACCTGTACACCAAACCCTCACAACATGCAATTTACTTACATAACAAACCTGCACGATGTATCCCCTGCTGAACCTAAAATAAAAGTTGGAACAACAAATAAAAAGTCTCCCTTTTCACAACCCCAGATATGTCCTACAAATTAATCATCTTGATCCTTTTCCTTTTTCTTTTTTTTTTTTCTTTTTGAGATGAGTTTTGCTCTGTGGCCCAGGCTGGAGTACAGTGGTACAAATTCCACTCCCTGCAGCCTCTGCCTCCCAGGATTCAAGCAATTCTCTTGCAGCAGCCTCCCAAGTAGCTGGAACTACAGGCATGCACAGCCATGCCCAGTTAGTTTTTTGTATTTTTAGTAGAGATGGGGTTTCACCATGTGGTCAGGATGGTCTTGATCTCCTGACCTTGTGATCTGTCCGTCTCAGCCTCCCAACGTGCTGGGATTACAGGCATGAGCTACCATACCTAGCCTTAATCCTTTTTCTTTCTGTTACTCAGTTTGGATAATTTCTATTAATCTATCTTCAGATTCACAGCTCCTTTCTTTTCATTTTCCAATATGCTCTTAAGCCTACACACATGGTGATGTTTTGATATCAGATAAATGTTCTTTTCAGCTCTGAATTTCAATTTGGTTTGTGTGTGTGTGTGTGTGTGTGTGTGTGTGTGTGTGTATTTCATTTCTCTGCTAAGATTCCCTGTGGTGATGACACATGGAATTCACTGGTCTTACCATGCTCCCCACCATCCTGTCCTGAAACAGTTGGCTTGCCAGACTGGTGGAGTGGCCTGTTGAAGACTCAGTTACAGCACCAGCTAGTGGCAATACCTTGTGGGACTGGGACAAGGTTCTCCCAGGCTGTATAATTTCTGCATCAGCATCCAGTATATGGTGCAGTTTCTTCCACAGCCAGGATTCACAGGTCCAGGAACCGAGAGTTGGAAATGGGAGTGGCACCACTCACTGTAATCTCTAGTGATTTACTGGTGGGGAATCTGGATTCAGTTACGTTCCTTTAAAGGGTGTTAAATTTTGTTCTGCTAGGCAGATAAATTACTGGTTGATCTTCTGGTCCTGTCAGACTTGATTTTATCATCTCTTTGGGCAATTTTCTGTTTTGGTGTTTGTCCTTAGTCCTAGCTAAGGTCCTGGCTCAAGCTTAGGCATGATTCTTACTCAAGAGGCATTGCTTTCTGGAGTCTCAGATGGATGCCTGAGATGTTCAGCAGGGTCTCTACACACTGGGCCAGAAGTCTTTTTTTTTTTTTTTAAATGAGACAGAGTGTTGCACCATTGCCCAGGCTGCAGGCTGGAGTGCAGTGTCATGATCTGGGCTCACTGCAGCCTCCACCTTCAAGGTTCTAGCCATTCTCCTGCCTCAGCCTCCTGAGTAGCTAGGATTACAGGTGTGTGCCACCACCCCTGGCTAATTTTTGTATTTTTAGTAGAGACGGGGGTCTCACCATGCTAGCTGGGCTGGTCTCGAACTCCTGACCTCAAGCGATCTGCCTGCCTGAGCCTCCCAAAGTGGTAGGATCACAGGTTATTGGTCAGGAGCCACCGTGCCTGACTGATAATTCTTACTATCAACACTGTGTGAAGTCTAGGCTCTCAGCCAAGGATCTCCAGGGGATCCCTGTGTAGACTTCAGCCCCAGCCTGATTTCCTCCAGTGCCTGTCCTACAAAGGCCAGCTGCTTCATCATTCCTCAACTCTAGTCTTTTCCTGCGCAGCTCCGTGTGACCTCTGCATTCTGCTTGCCTCCCACCATTCTATACAGTGAGCCAGAAAGTAACCCACGTACTAAACTGAGGCACATTGTATGTCTTTCCCTGTTACCAAGGATCTGAGTCCTGCAATGCCTGAGTGCAGTTGCCTTGTACGTACTTTTTCCCCAGCTTTATCTGTGTTAACAGTGGGAAGACCAGACCAGTACCAGTTACTACATTTGGGCCGAAACCAAACTCAGGTTCTTTATTTTTAAAATTGTTTGAGACTTTATTAGCTGGTGGTTCTCATGTACTTCACTTAGATGAAGAGATGATGATTGAAATTGTTTCTCAGGAAGGCAGAAACTATGGCATCTGATGGGATTTTCTGGAAAATGTGGGGAGGGGTGTCAGTTTGTGTTTGGTATTTTCTTTCTCTCAACTCCCTCCTACTTGTCTTGTGCAACATCCAATAGATCTCAGTAACACATTCCTACTTGATGGTATTTTAGATTTTTTAGATTATCTAATAAACTGTTACATTCTGATTTTTTTTTTTTGTTTTGAGATGGAGGCTCACTCTATCACCCAGGCTGGAGTGCAGTGGCGTGATCTCAGCTCACTGCAACCTCTGCCGCCCAGGTTCAAGCAATTCTCCTGCCTTAGCCTCCCGAGTAGCTGGGATTACAGGTGCCAGCCAACATGCCTGGCTAATTTTTAGATTTTTAGTAGAGATGGGGATTTCATCCTCTTGGCCAGGTTGGTCGTGAACTCCTGACCTCGTGATCCACCCAACTCGGCCTCCCAAGGTGCTGGGATTACAGGCATGAGCCACCATACCCGGCCTGAATTTTCAAATTTTCTGTTGAAAGAAAGTTTTTTGAGGAAGGAGGTTAATAAGCATGGAGGTGATGGAGGGTCAGTGTTAACGGCTAGGACCACCCCCAACCCCCACGTAACTGCTGCTGTTCTGCCACCGTCTCCAGCAGCTCCCTAAGCACTCAGTGTTTTCACAATGGTGGGAACAATGGGGGTGGTTTGGTACAGGGACAACTGTCCTCTTACGGGATCATTTGTTAACTAGGCATTTCTAAGGACAAACTTGCTTCTATTTTCAGAAGCACAACAAGGTTTTAAAAATTGTAAACCCCAACCTGATCAGGGCTGAGTTAGGGAGTTACTTCCTGGAAAAACTGAAAATGGTTCGTTCTTTTGTTTAAAACAATAAGGTGGGGCATGGTGGGTTACACCTGTAATCCCAGCACTTTGGGAGGCTGAGGCAGGTGGATCGCCTGAGGTCAGGAGTCCAAGACCAGCCTGATCAACATGGTGAAACCCCATCTCTAATACAAATACAAAAAATTAGCTGGGTGTGGTGACGTGCAACTGTAGTCCCAGCTACTTGGGAGGTTGAGGTAGGAGAATCACTTGAACCTGAGAGGCAGAGGCTGCAGTGAGCAAAGATTGTGCCACTGCACTCCAGCCTGGGCGACAAAGTGAGACTCCGTATAAATAAATAAATAAACAGACAACTCTATTCAATAAGTACAGTTGTTACAAAACCCATACTCCATATTTTGGATATAAACAATGAAATACTTGAGGAATGGTGGGGGAAGATACACCTATGCCACAGTGGGAGGCCTCAACAAGGCACAGGAGACACAGCCTCAGGTCTGAAATCTCTGCTCCTCACTCAAGCTCTCTCTGCCTTATTGTCACTAGATCTCTCTCTGCCTTATTGTCACTAATGGTTCTTTGAAAAGTTGCTTAACCCCTAAGGCTGTGACATTAGTGACCACAACAGCCTTACCTACCTCTACAAATTCATTCAGCATTCAAAAACTAGAGATTGCATTGCTGTGTCAGACGCGGTACTCTGCTAGGCACTTTGGGAACTGTTAATATTAAAACATGCTCCCTACATGTAAGAAGTGTATAGACCGTAAGTTTGACAGGCGTTTGCTTTAAACTCATATTTTGCAGGTGTGTCCATTTGGCATACTCTTCTAATAGCCAGAGACGACTGACTATCATAGTTCCTAACAACCCGAAGATTAAGGAGAAACAAGCAAAAGCCATGATATGGTTGCTGAGAGGATTAGGTAAATTTATCCATGCAAAGCACGGAGAACATGCTGTCACAGAGCAACATTCAGATGTTTGCTACTTCTGTTACTATTAAAGTCATACAGCCAAACTCTTATTTCCCTTTTGTTTGGAAGAAAAATACATAGATGTTTCATGTTTAATTTGGTAAACTGAATCCACAGAATTTCGCCATGAAATATGTATGTACTTGGGTAAAATCTTTGATGATCTTTCATCATATATCACCACCAAAAATTCAATAAAATTGTGAAAGACCCTTGAATGGCCACTCTAAGTGAACTAAATGGAAGGGTATTTGACTTGCCCATTAAATTTCATATATATATATATATATATATATATATATATATATATATATACACACACACACACATTTTTTTTTCTTTGAGACAGGGTCTTGCTGTGCCACCCAAGCTGCAGTGCAGTGGCCCAGTCATGGCTCCCTGCAGCCTTGACCTCCCCAGGCTCAGGTGATCCTCTTGCCTTAACCTCCTTGAATAGTTGAGACTACAGGCACACACCACTAGGCTCCAGTAATTTTTGTATTTTCAGTAGAGATGGAGTTTCACCAGGTTGCCCAGGTTGGTCTTGAACTCCTGGGCTCAGGCAATCCACCCACTTCAGCCTCCCAAAGTGTTGGGATTACAGGAATGAGCCACCATGCCCAGCCCTAAATTTCCTGTATTTTTAAGAACACTTATGAAATCATTTGGGATCATAAAGGAAACATATTTTGAGTAGGGATGCATATTAACAGTTCCTTAATAAACTATCTTGAGTGTCTAAAAGCATGAAAGAGGATAATGATTCATATTGTCAAGATACCCGCTGAGTAATGATCCGCCAGCCTCCACAATATGTCCAACAACAGAGAACTCTTTAGTTCTGAAGGTAGCCAGTGCCTATTATATTAATATGCTTCCTAAAATTCTTTTTTTTTAAATTTTCCTTTTTCAGGGTTAGGAAAGAGGGTAGGGAGGGAGAGTCTGTTTCCTGAAATTCCTATCAAAACTCCCACCCTACTGAGATTCATGCCCACTGTCTTGTTATGCTGTCCTGTTACCACTCCAAGAGAAAAGAGAGAAAAATCCATTTGGACACTGTAATCCCAGCACTTTGGTAGGCCAAGGCAGGCAGATCACGTAAGGTCAGGAGTTCAAGACCAGCCTGGTCAAGATGGTGAAACCCCATCTCTACTGAAAATACTAAAATTAGTTGGGTGTGCTGGTGCTTGCCTATAGTCCCAGCTACTCAGGAGGCTAAGGCAGGAGAATCGCTTGAACCTGGGAGGCAGAGGTTGCAGTGAGCTGAGATCACAGGCCATGGCACTCCAGTCTGGGCAACAGAGCAAAATGTATATATATATATATTTCATATATATATATATATATATATATATATATATATATAAAAGTCAATAAAGATACCTGATAAGGACACTTCAAGAAAGGAAACAGTTTAAGAATATCCTTCAGAGGTGTTCGGCTGCCAATCATCCTTCTTCTTATTTCCAAAGTTTGGCTCATTCTCTTGTCAATTTCTCTCCAGTTCTTTTCTGTTTTCACATATTCTTGCTGAAACCACTTAATATGTTCATCCAGCTCAGAATCAAAACAAACAGCTTCTTCCTGCGAAACATTTTCAAAGTATCAATGAATTCCATGTTTCAAGCAGCTGTTTGATACGCTATGAACACTTGAATTTCAGGCTGTTACTGTACGCTCGTAGCTCACTGCACACTCTTAGCTCACGCCTAAGATGAGTATCACCATGCCTGGTTACACTTGACCTTGAACATGGCTAATAAATGGACAGTCTTTAATGATGACAAATTAGATAGTTTGTTGCTCAGCATGGAATTATAATCTATTCTCTTGAAAGATCTCAAAGAGTTACTTTAATTCCTACATTATCCTTTCATATGAAGACAGATTATCCAGAAGTTTCCCACTGAATAAAATGTTCTACGCATTTAAATTTTGGAAGACAAAATGTTAAGAAGAGATTTTTAAAAGTATTAAATTAAGGTTTCGTTATTACTATTGTCTTCTTTCTTTCTTTCTTTCTTTTTTTTTTTTTTTCTGAGACTGAGTCTTCCTCTGTCGCCCAGGCTAGAGTACAGTGTCGTGATCTCGGCTCACTGCAACCTCCACCTCCTGGGTTCAAGTAATTCTCCTACCTCAGCCTTCTGAGTAGCTGAGATTAAAGGTGAGCATCACCACACCTGCCTAATTTTTGTATTTTAATAGAGACAGAGTTTCACAGACCAAAACATGCTGGTCAGGCTGGTTTCAACGACTGACCTCATGATCCGCCCATCTTGGCCTCCCAAAGTGCTGGAATTACAGGCATGAGCCACAGTGCCCAGCCTGTCTTTTTTCTTTTTAAGTGCCTTTTTATAGCTGCAGTACCACATCATGTAATCCAAATTCAAAATAATAACCATGGTTATTTTGTGATGCTAAATCACTAAACTAATCATTTTATTCCCTATATAACTGGGTACATTAGGGGACGTGGGGGCAGCTAAGAAACACCTCACCTATTTTTTTTTTTTTTTTTTTTTTTTTTTTTTTTTTTTTTTGAGACGGAGTTTCCCTCTTGTTACCTAGGCTGGAGTGCAATGGCGCGATCTCGGCTCACGCAACCTCCGCCTCCTGGGTTCAGGCAATTCTCCTGCCTCAGCCTCCTGAGTAGCTGGGATTACAGGCACGTGCCACCATGCCCAGCTAATTTTTTGTATTTTTAGTAGAGACGGGGTTTCACCATGTTGACCAGGATGGTCTCGATCTCTCGACCTCGTGATCCACCCGCCTCAGCCTCCCAAAGTGCTGGGATTACAGGCTTGAGCCACCGCGCCCGGCTTATACCTCACCTATTCTTGTTGAAAATCTAAGACAATCGGCTTTGAGGAAATAAGAAAAATATCTTTCTAGAAATATGAGTTAAGAGGACAGTCAGCTGAACTGCACATAAATGAAAGTTGATCAACTGTCTAGCTGACCATAATGTGAACAGATGATACCTATAAAAGATGAAAAAGATGATAAGGAACCTGAAGTCCTCTTATATCAAGGCTTTTACAAGCACATAGGAAAGCCTCAGTAGATCTACTTTCTGTGAACACAGAATGACTAACAAGACATAAACCAAGTGAACGAACTTCTAGAAAAATAAAATTATCAAAATTAAGAATTTCCTACAATCTTACAAAAAGTTAATTGGAAGATGAAAGTGTCTTCACAAAGAAAATACCAAGAAAGACTTGAAGGTTTTACAGACAAAATCTAAACTTTTGAAACAGAGTGTCAAAATTTATGCACAATTTCAAGAAAAAAATAAAGGAGGCCGAGCATGGTGGCTCACACCTATAATCCCAGCACTTTGGAAGGACGAGGCAGGAGGATCATCTAAAGCCAGGAGCTCGAGACCAGCCTGGCCAACATAGTGAAACCCCACCTCTACTAAAAATACCAAAATTATCAGGGTGTTGTGGCTCATACCTGTAGTCCCAGCTACTTGGGAGGCTGAGGCATGAGAATCACTTGAACCCAGGAGGTGGAGGTTGCAGTGAGCTGAGATTGTGCCACTGTACTCCAACCTGGGTGACAGAATGAGACTGTCTCAGAAAAAAAAAAAAAAATGAACTAACCCATTCTATGGAGCCTCTATGACATGGATCTCCAAACCTGAAAGAACAGTGTAAGAGAGGAAAAGTGCAGGTCACTCTCATTCATAAACAAAGTTGCAGATATTAGAAACAAGGAACAACTAACCTGAATTTATTATACCTCAGAAACCCAAGGGTGGTTTGACGTTGGTAAGGGAACTATAGTAAACTGAAAGGAAACATGACTGATTTACCTATTAAGTATTACATACTATCATACTAAAATCTCAATTTGGGGGCCACTGTTATAGAAAGATTCGGGGCAGAAAAGAGGTAGGTTTTGAGAAATGTGGCGTATTAACAGTTCTATGATTGTTGGGCACGGCAGCTCACACCCAGTAATCCCAGTAGTTTGCGAGGCTGAGGCCGAGGTTTACTTGAGGCCAGGAGTTTGAGAGCTGCCAGGAAACATAGCAAAACTCCCTACCTCTCCAAAAATAAGAATAAACGTTGGGAGGCCAAGGCAGGTGGATCGCCTTCAGTCAGAATTTTGAGACCAGCCCGGCTAACATGGTGAAACCCTGTCTCTACTAAAAATACAAAAAAAAAAAAAAAAAAAAAAAAATGCCTGGGCGTGGTGGTGCATGCCTGTAATCCCAGCTGCCCAGGGAGCTGAGACAGAAGAATAGTTTGAAGCCGGGAGGCGGAGGTTGTGGTGAGCTGAGATCGCACCACTGTGCTCCAGCCTGGGAGACAAAGACTCCGTCTCAAAAATAAAACAAAAATAAATAAATAATAAAACCCCAACCGTCTGTAATTTTACTTGGATTATCTAAACATGTGTAAACATCATATACTGCATTAATTACCTAATTAAAGAAAAAGACCATTCCAAATAATGCAGAAAAAGTATCTTATAAAATATGATATCCCTCTATGATTAAAGAAAAAAAATTTTTGTCAAAATAAGAGAAAATTTTAATACCTATAAAGTTATATACCAAAAACCTAGAACTAACATAACTTTTTTTTTTTGAGACAAGGTCTCTCTCTGTCACCCAGGCTGAAATGCAGTGGCATGATCACAGCTCAGTATAGCCTCGAACTCCCAGGCACAAGTGATTCTCCCACTTCAGGGTCTCAGTATCAAAAAACCACAACTTTTTTTTTTTTTTTTTTGTCAGAACTTAACTAGCAGATTCTAAAACTCATCTGAAAGATTAAAAAACTCAATAACCAAGGCATTCCTAAAGAATAATAAAGCAGTGATGGGAAAGTATCAAGACATTTTACAGCTATGTAAGTAAGGAAGTTGGTATTGATGCAGGGATAGATGACTTTACTAGTGGAAAACAGCAGAGTTTCCAGACACAGAGCCATGCAAACAACAGAGATCACCAATTGGCATCACCAATCTGAGAAACAGAAGGACTCTTTTCTAAAACATGCAAGAAAACTTTCTATCCATAAGGAAAAGAAATTCTCATGTGGCTTAAGAAGTTAAATTTTAAGAGCAAAACTTAAAAAGAAAAAAGAAAAAGAAAACAGAAATATTTCTTATCACTTCAAGGTAAGAAAGAATTTCCTAAAAGTGTTACCAGTGGAGGGCCTTGACTACAAGTCATCCAAGTTCTTGGTGTTTTGAACCAAGAATTGGAAGAAATGCACAGTAAAGTCATGAAATAAGCAACAAAAGTACAGATTTATTGAAACGAAAGTACACTCCACAGAGTGGGAGAGGGCTCAAGCTAGCCACTCAAGAGGGCTGGTTACAGAATTTTTGGGTTTTAAATACCCTCTAAAGGTTTCCCATTGGTTACTTGGTTTACACTCTATGAAAATGAAGGAAAGGTCCATGACAAGTCTGATTAGTTATGGAAGGTGACAAATCAGAGGCTGAAGTGAAGTTACAAAATCACACCCTATGAAAATGTCTGACTGGTGGTAGGAAGGGACCAGAGGCTGAAGTGAAGTAACAAAGTTATATCCCTATACAAATGAAGACTAGGCCTGCTACCAGTCTGATTGGTTGCAAGAGGGAACCAATCAGAGGTTGCTATGGTTTGGCTCTATGTCTCCATGCAAATCTCATCTTGTAGCGCCCATAATTCCCATGTGTTGTGGGAGGGGCCCAGTAGGAGATGATTGAATCATGGGAGCAAGTCTTTCCCATGCTGTTCTCATGATAGTGAATGGGTCTCACAAGATCTGATGGTTTAAAAATGGGAGTTTCAGCCAGGTGCAGTGGCTCACGGTTGTAATCCCAGGACTTTGAGAGGCTGAGGCAGGCAGATCACCTGAGGCTGGGAGTTCGAGACCAGCCTGACCAAAATACAAAATTAGCCAGGTGTGGTGGCACATGCCTGTTATCCCAGCTACTCAGGAGACTGAGGCAGGAGAGTAGCTTGAACCCAGGAGGCCAATGTTGTGGTGAGCCAAGATGGTACTACTGCATTCTAGCCTGGGCAACAAGAGCAAAACTCTGTCTCAAAAAAGAAAAACAAAAACAAACAAAAACAAAAACAAGAGTTTCTCTGTACAAGCTCTCTTTTTCCTGCTGCCATCCACGAAAGATGTGATTTGCTCCTCCCTGCATTCTGCCACGATCGTGAGGCCTCCCCAGCCATATGTAACTGTTCAGTTCAAGAAGCCTCTTTCTTTCATAAATTAGGTAGTCTTGGGTATGTCCTTATCAGCAGAGTGAAAACAGATTAATACAGAGGTACTTTCCATTCTTCATCCGTCGCACAGAGTGGGGTGGAAAGTTGCAAAGGGAGGAGCCTCTAATTTTTTTGTTACTTGGGCGTGGAAAGTTGGGGTCTTCCTTTTGATTCAGTCCTAAGAAGTCGGTGCAAATTGGCTTTAGGTTTCCTGCCTCAAAAGCACAAATTATAAATGACTGATAAATCTAAGCACATTAAAATTGCAACCTTATCTTTCCTTGTCAAAAGACACCAGAAAGAAATTTAAAGTCCAAAGCACAAACTATGAGAACAAATTTGCAACAGATATAATTAG